TCGCTACTCTTTGAGAGGAACAGAAATCTTAGCTAATGGTTTTAGTGCTTTTCTAAGTATGACGATGTAAGAAACTGGGTTCTTAAAATTTTCTCCTGAAAACATCTAACCACCTGAGGGCCAGTTCTGGCAGTTTTCCTGCAGCACAAAGCACCTCATCCTGATCTTCGCCCTGAATTCCTTCCAGGGTGTGTTGTAAGTCAGTGACTGCTGTGGCTAATGACTTGGTTCTTGTAGAACTGGCTGATGGGTAACATTCTTGATTTTACAGTTCTTTCCCTTCCTGTCTTAATTTCAATGGAAGATTAGGAGGCATTTCGTGACCAGCTTGTCCCTTGGCACTGGGAAGGCTCAGTCCCCTGCTGGGCATGGGTTTTGTTGTTAGGCCACGCAGTGCGCTGTTACTGGACTAGGACCTATTTACAGCAGCCAAAAAAACCCCTGGGCCACTCGTATTACGGGTCTCTCATGGTCCTGCAGTAGTTCCCTCTTGTTGTTTCTTCTAGTATCTAGAATTACACTCTCTCAGGCCTTGATCTGATAGGACTATATATTTGACCAACCTTTTTAAGTCACCTAGTCATCATTAATTTTAATCAGAGGCTCAGTCACACGTTTGATCATTCAAGAACCAGCAATCTTGTAAAATAGGCAGAATACAAGGTAGTTAACTAACATTAATAAGGTTATAAGTAAGTATTTAAGCTAAGAACTTCTACTAGGTGCAGCCCATATCTCTCCAGACTATCTGGCCAGTCTGTTCTGCACCAGTCATGATCTTTAAGGGGAAATGATTTATCGGCCTTGTACATAAAGTTCACCGAAGATGCGTGCAGGTACAAGGCGAATGGTGGGCCCTCATGGCCCCTTACAGGACTGAGAAAGAAGTGTTGTCTTCCTAGGAGTTGCATGGCTGGCACCGGCAGAAGAAAAGCTGATCTTTATGGCTGAGCAGGCGTTTCTGCCCGTCGGCAGGTCTGGTTAATACATAGTGCACAGGCGCACAGCACTCCAGAATGGAGGGAGGAGGCCCAAACAGGCAGAGAAAAGTGTTTACATTTTTCTTGTCTTGTTTCAAGTACAAAATTTTTATTTCTTCACCAGTAAGGACACACAGTGGAGCAGCCTGGTTGCCATGGGTTCCCCTCTGCTTCTTTGGTGCTATGAGCAGGGGTCTGGCTGTGGCTGCCACCCAGTCTTGGGCCAGGCAGTCAGCTGTGCAGCCCTGCAGGGCCACCTCACCGCATCATGGCATTCGCCTCTGGCAAGCCTCCCAGCCACACCTCACCCACCCAAACCACGTATGAACCAAGGGATGCTTGGGGAAGCTGTCCCTTAAGATCTCAGGTGTCTGATGACCCTGCTCAAGTTGACTTCAACAGCTCCTGTGGTTTTTAAGAGACTACGCCACCCTTAATATCACCCTCAATTATTTAGCGCCCCCAGCTTGGCTAAAGCCCAGAGAGCTTCCTTAGCCCTTGATATGTTAAAAACAGAATAAAGGCATTTGAAAAGTCTCGTCCCACAGTAACTGAGCTTGCATCTGAGACTACATCTCAGAAGCTGAAAATTACATTCTCCTTTCTTTTTACTTCTTCTCAAATGAATCCTAACTTACCTACCGAACTTCCCCCATAGATGGTTAGGTAGACAGACCTGCTAAGATAAAGGTCAAACATTGAGAAAGTTCAAAAAGGAAAGTATGTACAGAGTTTTCAAACTATTACTCTTTTTTGTTGCCTTGTATTTCTTCACAACCACCCTTCTAGGTAGGTGGTGTTATTCCGGTTTAGGAATGAAAAATACAAAGGCTCAGAGAACACACTAAAGCTTGCTCAGCTGCTGTGTAAGACAGCAGGAGATGCACCTTAAGCTCTGGCTTTATTCGTCGTTCTCACTCAACCAAAATTCCTAAAAGATGCAGGATGCTAACTAGTGGGGTCAAGGGCGTGGGTCTGGGTTCTGGCCCCAAAGCCACCAAATACTAATTCTGCTCACTTGGTAAAATTCATGACATGTCAGCCTTTGTACAGGACCTTTGGGATTAAATGAGACACTGATAGTAACAGCCATCTTTCACCAAGTGCTGTCTGCATGCCAGGCGATTTAC